ACAGTGAGTGTCTAGCTCACAAGAGTGGTTTGAGTGGTCATGAGATAATCCCGAGAAGGCACTTATACAATGAATGCCTGGACTTGGTACATGCTAAGCCTGTGTCCACTTTTGTCTGATCTTGCTGAAACCCAGTATTATGTTACTTGTAAATGCATTCATTCATTGTTTGTGCGTTCATTTATTCAACATGTAAATGTGCTGCTGCTGCAGCTGTGTGTCAGCTAATGAGATGAGACAGTGTCCAGGGGTGCAGCCAGTAAGACATATGGAAGTGTCCCTTGGCAGGACCAGTGAAGTCAGTGTGCTGTTGGAGCCCTGAGGGACTCTTCCTGGTGGGGATGGAGGAAAGACTTCCTTCACAGGAGATGAACACCTGGATTTGACCTTGAGGAATGCAGAGGAATATGACTCTGTAGAGACCACTTATTTAGTCCTGGACTGAGCTCCCAGACAGAAGGCCGTGCTCACTGTCTGCCCTGTATCTCCAATATAGCATTGTACAGCCTGCAGAAGGGACAGGATAAAGCCCTTGGGATCAAAACAGCTGCCTCTGCAAGGTTGCAGATTGCTCTCTGGTGCATTTAGTACAAGCATGCTTGGAGGTATCAAGGAAAGAAGAGGGACAGGAGTTCAAATGAGAACTTGGGCTGGCCTGTGACAGGAGTAGGAGTTTTCCCTGAGTCCTGAAGAGAGTGAAGGATGGTTTACCGTATGTCTGTGTTTGAGATTTGCAAGCTGTGTGTTGAGTATGAGAGAGATTATAATCAAGAAGGCCTGTGAAAAGTAATTGCAGTCATCCAGATGAAAGAGGAAGAGAACTTAAAGAAGTAGTGGTATGGAGGATACAATGAAAGAATTTGTTCTGGAAAAGTCATTGACATTTTCTAATTCATCTAATAAGAACTTAGTAAACAGCTTGTGGGCACTAAATAATTACACAAAGTCTATGTTAGTCAGCTGTATGTTACTGTAACAAAATACCTGAGATAATCAACTTATAATAAGAGAAGTTTTAATTTGGCTCATGGTTTCAGAGGTTTCAGTCCACGGTCATTGGGCTCTATTGCTTTTGGGCCTGTGACAAGACAGCTCATCATGGTGGGGAGCAAATGATAAGGCAGATCTGGTTATCTCATGGCAGCTATGAAGCAGAATGAGAAAGAGGAACAAGCTAGAATCTTCTGGCCCCCTCTAATGACTGGAAGACCTCCCACTAATCCCCACTTCTTACAGTTTTCACCAGGACCCAATAGCACCGAGCTGGGACCAAGACTTTAACACATGGATCTTTGAGGGATATTTATGATCCACACTATAGCAGAGACCACCTCTACTACAGATGTTCAGTTATCATTGTGAATGTTTTGGAATTATGTTATTTCTTTTATGAGTAAGCAATATATACATAAGGCAAAAATTCAAAATACAACCATTTGTACATTTCCTTTTCCCTTACAAACACTAGCATGCCTCACCATATTTTTGTGAAATCTTGCCGCCTTTTCTCTTAACAGTGCATCTTGGAATTGGTCAATACTAGTAAAAATATAGTTGCCCCACCTTTTAACTTTTTTTCTAACTATAGATTGTGATAGGTTTTAACTTTATTATGAGATAATTTTAGCTTTCAAAGAAGAGGCACAAAAATAGTACATACCACACCCCAAACTTCTCCTTTTGTTGACATCTTCTTTAATCGTATATTTTAGTCCACTTTCTCACTGCTATGACTTAAAGACCCAACCAGCACAATTGTAGAGGAGGAAAGATTTATTTGAGGGCTCACAGTTTTAGAGGTCTTAGTGCATAGAAGGCTGGCTCCACTTCTCAGGGCCCGGAGATGAGGCTGAACATCATGGCGGGGAGTGTGGCAGAGGGAAGCGGCTCACATCATGGTGATCAGGAAGCAGAGAGACTCCATTCTCCAGGTACAAATACAGACTCCAAAGCCATGTCCTAATTCCCCCCTCCTCCAGCCACACCCCACTACTTCAGTTACCAGTCAGTTAATCCCTGTCAGGGGATTAAATCACTGGTTGGGTTAAGACTCTCATCATTTCTYCTCTGAACCTTCTTGCATTATCTCTCACATGAGCTTTTGGGGGACACCTCACATCCAAACCCTAACATCATAGAACCATTAAGACCAAGAAATTTACAAAGAAATCATAAATGTTTGAGGACATAGATACGCTTAACCTGATTTCACATCACAGAAGGTATACATGATTGAAACGGCACACGGTGCCCCGTAAATGTGTACAATTTATATATCAGTTTAAAAATTTAGAGATTTTTAAAATCCTTACAATGAACTAAGCGTTTGGATTTCACCAGTTTTCCCATTTGTGTCCTTTTTCTGTACCACATTCCAAACCAGGAGCCCCTTTTGCATTTGGTCATTATTGCCTCTTCAGGCGATGACAATTCCTCATTCTTTCCTCCTCTTTCATGACCTTGATACCATTGGAGAGTTTTGTCATTTGGGTTTGTCTGATGTTTTTTATAACTAGGTTGAAGTCATGCATTACTGGGAAGAATACAACTGAGGTGATAAGGTTAATATGTCTTATGACTAGTGACATCAGCTTCAACCACTTTGCTAATTTTATCACTCTTCCTTTTCACTATTTTTCCCTATTGTCATTAATAATTGCATTTATCTATAGCATGTTTTCCCAGGCTCGGAATGAGTGACACATTGAGCTGGATAATTCTTCGTTATTGGGGACTGTCTTATGTACTTAGGATGTTTATCTGTGTTCTTAGCCTCTGCCTGCTCTAAATAAGGAGCTGTGACTACCCTGACCTAGCCAAAAAAAAAAAAAAAAAAAAAGTCTTCAGACATTGTCAGATGTCTTTTGGAGACAAACCTCTCCACAGACTGAGAACCTCTTATAGGATAAATGCTTAGATGTGGATAAAAGATCATGTTTGCTCATATGTAAATTTTGTAATTGTAGTCCCCCATAACACAAGATGAAACACGGAGAAAGGTGTGCAAAATCCTAAGTATACGGTTACATTCATTTTTCACAAACTGAGCCCACGATTATGACCTGTACATCAGGAAGTAAGCACCATGGCATCCTAGAAGCGTCCCTATTACCCGCTTCTATTCCCTCACCAAAGCAATAACCACCATTTTACTTTCTGGACCCACAGGTTAGTATTACCTGTATCTGAACTTTACATGAAATCACATGTATTTATCAGTCATTGAGAGATTTTGCCCAATTGGTCTCCATTCACGTTTTCATTAGCAACATAGGAAAGTACCTGCTTCCCTGCGCTTCACCCAGTGTTTCTGATATTTGACAATCAAAGCATTTAAGGAATGAGTGTAGTGGAGGTGGAACTGCATTTCTTTCATTAATGAGTTTGAACATTTTTTCAAGTATTGATGAGCCAGTGTATTCTTTTCTGTAAACTATCCTCCTCACCCCCAACCACCACACTGGAGGTTCAACCTTAGGGGCACTGTGCCACTGAATTATATCCCCAGCTTTTTTTTTTATTATTATTCTTTCTTGGAGACAAGGCCTCATTAAGTTGCAGAAGCTGTCCTCAAACTTGAGGTCCTTGTGCTTCAACCTCCTGAATAGTTGGGATTACAGGCATGTACCACCATGTCTTAAATCATTTTTTATTTTAGGTTATCTGTATTGGATCATTGATCTTTTTTAAATGATTTGTTAGAATTTTTTATATTAAAGAAATTATACCTTTAGCTAAAACATAAGTTTTAAATGTTCTTTTGTGTAACCTGTGTGTATGAAGTGAAATATATCTAAGTCTCATCATGACTTCTTGCAGTATTTGTTTTGTTTTGTTGTGGTACTAGGGTTTGAACTCAGGGGTGCATTACCACTGAATCACATCCCCAGGTGTTTTTATTTTTTTAGTTTGAGATAGTTCTAAGTTTCTGAGGCAGTTCTCTAACTTGTAATCCTCCTGCCTCAGCCTTCCTTTTCAAACTTCTTGAAACTTATTGAAATGAACATTAATCTTTCTCCCTTGTGGGTTAACACGTATGTTGGAGATTCTGAATATTATTCCAAGTACTGTGTGCATCTTGATATGTAATGTTTTCATTTTCATTATTTTCTTCATTATTTGCAATTTGGATTGTGATTTTTCCCTTTGACCACAAAGTTGTTTTAAGAAAGAGTTCTAAGATTTTCAGGTGGCAAGGATATTTATTCCCTAGTACTTCTAAAATTTAGTTCCTATTTTATTACATTGTACTGTGGTTTTAATTTTCATATTTTTTGAGGCTAGTTTTAATGACCATTCCATGACATTGAAGGTGTGTTTGTTTTCAGGGTCTAGAGTTCTGTCAATAATATCTAACTTGTTATGTTATTTAAATCTTTTATATCCTTATATTTTTGTCCATTTATTTGTGATAAATTAAGACGAGGTAAACTCTTCTGCTAATTTCTTTTTTGTTGTTGTTTTTCCTCCTGTTTCAAGCAAATTTTGTTTCATGAGGCTTAATGCTAAGCTATTTTGTGTATAGACATTTACAGCTAAAAATCCCCACTGAGAACTGTACTGTTAACAGTATAAGGAGTATAAGGAGGGGAGGAAGATGAGGAGGAAAATGACGAATGTGATAATGTTGTTGCCAAACCCTAGTTATTATTACCTAGCAAATAGTTTTGGTTTGTGATCTGAAGGATTCTTTGATAGGTAAGTTTAGCTCATTTACTGTTAGGTCAGATATCTAATCCTAGGTCTTGCACCTTGTTTTGTATTATAATTTCTCTTTTGATTGCTTCTTTTTGCTGCCTCCCAATGTGCTTTCTGGATTTTCTTTGCATTTTGTATCTTATGTTTGATATTATGATTGATATTCTTGTTCCAGTGATTTCTCTGTAATTGATCGAATATATTTAATATTTAATCTTCCATGTTCCCCCGGCCCTTCCCGGCTACTTTAAAGATCATCTCTTGTCTTTGGTGTTTGGAAGTGTATCAAAAAAATGTATCTGGTGTTCACTTCAGTAGCACATATACTAAAATTGGAATTATACAGAGAAGAATAGCATAGGCCCTGGGCAAGGATGACATGCAAATTCATGAAGCATTCCATATTTTTAAAAAAGAAAAAAATGTATATACCTGGGTTAAGTCTTTATTGCGTCTTACCAAATAACCAAGTTACCACAGAACATTTTGGCTTAAAACATTACACATGTCTTACCTGTCAGGTTCTGTGGTTTGAGGACACAAGCATGGCTTAGCCAGGCCTTCACAGCATTTTTGCAAGACTGCAAAGGGTGTTGGCTCCCAGTCTGCAGTCTCATGCAAAAGTTCAACCGAGGAAGTATTCACCTCCAAGCTTCCTGAGTAGTTATTGGCAGCATTCCTTTCCTGGCAGGTTTTTGGGCAAAGCACTTCTGTTTTTTGCTAGCTGGTTGGTCAGAAGCTATTCCCAGTACCTTGACATGTGCCAGTGGAAAAGAAAAGAGAAAGTACTGACAGTGGTTTATCAAATACAACAGTGGAATCAGAGATGTTTTAGTTTCTCAAGATATATTCCTTCTTGGAGATATATTCCTGAAGAAGGTTTAAGCTAGTAGATATATGAAAATGCTTCAAGAAGAGGGAGGAAGATGAGGAAAATGATGAATGTGATAATGTTGATGCCAAACCTTAAACCAAAAACAGTGCTTTTAAAAGCATCCTAGTTAAGACTCTCCTGGCTTAGTCCCTTTGCTTTGCTTAGAAGTAAGCGTGACATCATGGGACTTCAGTCTATTCTGTTTTCAGAGATTTCTATTTATGCTATTTTCTGGTTGAGACTTCATCTTGGTTATCTACACATTAAATAGCCAAAGGGAAACTAAGCTGGACAGCAGCTCTCTTTGACAGTTAGCAGTCACACTATATTTCAAAGCCGCTAAGAAAGAGTTGCCTGTACAGTCGAGTGCTACCAGCTGATCTGCTGCAGCTCTGTGCTGTATAGGCAAAGATGAGTTTGCTAAACTTTTAAATTCACAGATAGATTTTGAAGAGCTTCTCAATATCAGTTGTATAAATTGATATACATATTTGAAATTAGTTCTTATAAACAACTRGATCCAGTTTTCAAGTCAAACTATCAAATCAAACAAAGGTATATTACCTTTGTATAAGCATATTGTTCCTAAAAATATTTTTAAACACTTTTGCATGTTGGAGATATCTCTCATCTTACTCTTCTTTATACCATGGTAATTATTTTTACTGTATACAAGAGAATACCATAAGCCCTATATTTTCTCAACTCAGGTAAATTTTTAGCTCCTGTCTTTCCAGGATCACTTTCTCTAAAAATAAAGAGGAAAAAAATTGTAATTTACATCCAGTAAAATTGTCCTTTTCTAATGTCCACTCTGAATTTTGACGATTGCACAGTTTTGTAACCAATCAATACACAGAGCATTTCCATCATCCTGCTCCTCACAGTTGGTCTCTTTCTTTATTCCCAGGCAAACACTCATGTTTTCTATTCTTCATGTGATTTAAAATTTCTTTTAAAATGAAATGTCTTTAAGTTAAAAAAATTTTAAAGCAAGTCAGTAGTTTTTTATCCCATAGTCAAAAGGGTGGTGTCCCTCAAAGGCGTGAATAGTGAGAGACAGATGTCCATTCCATATTGGAGGACAGCCTCCTGCTATTAAGTGGGGATCTCTATTCTGACTGATCTGCGCTGTCAGCTTGTGTCTTCTCCAGTCCTTCTTCTGCCCCATATCTACTCTCTCGGGCATATTAACATATGCATGCTACTATTTCCCTCTTAGTCCTCCCTGTCTCTTTACCCATCATTTGTATTTCTCTCCTCCTTTTGTCTTCATATTTTTAATGCTTTTATTAGTGTATTATACATAATAATGGGATTCATTTTCACATATTTGTACATCCCCTCCTCCATCCCCCTTCCTCTACTATATTGGTCTTCCTTCTATTTATTCATTTATTTGTTTATTTTAAATTGGTACTTTATGGATATACTTCAAAGTGAGTCCATCGTGGTATGCTCATATAGGCACATAGCATGTATGTTCAATTCCATTCTAGCCATCAATTCTCTCATTCAGTGATGTTACCATTTATTGATTTTTTTTCTTCTAAAATTATATATTTAATTTTAAAATGTTTGCTTCTGAATTCTTCTTCAGATTTTCCCGGTCATGCTCCATAATATCTTGCTGTGAGCTTGCATATACATGACATTTTTAGAGTGCCTGTATTTTGACTGTCACCCATCACAGGAGGTCAAGGGTGGAAATTTCCCACTGGTACTATCTGTCTTGTTGGAGCTTAAAAAAGTTTCAGATTTTGGAACATTTCAGATGGTGAATTTTTAAATTAGGGATGTCAACCTGTACAAACTTCCTGGTCACGTGTCCTTTCCTTGTGTCTGATCAGCATTTCTCCTCTGCCTCTGATGTAATGCTATTGCAGAGGCATCTGCACATGGAAGATGTCTTTTCCTGACATCTGTGATTTGATGCATTTTCCAGGCTGTCCAAAGAATATTTGCTTTATCTTTGACATCTAATCACTTATCAGGACATGCCTCTGGGCTCATCATTCTTTGCCATTTTTCTTGGAACAAAGCTTTCCTTTCCAATCTGAGACTGAGATGATCTTTCATTTCAGGTCAGGGTCTTGACTTCATATTAAAATACCCTTTCTGCTACCTTATTTTAATTTCTTTCTTTAGACTGTGCTTCTGACCCACCCTGAGCCTCTTGACCTCCAAAGATTGCCTCCTGGTTCTGTCATGTGGCAAAGGATGACAGACTTTGGAGCACTTTATCATTTGTATAGCATGATGTGAATTCCAGCTTTTAATCTAGAAGACATTGCAGTGACAGGCAGTCATGTAGTCCACCCATTTGTCTGTTAGTGAAAATGAATTTGAAGCAGAATGACTGCTTGGCTTGGGCCCACAGGGCGATGCTGCTGGTGGTCCAGATTGGGTCAGGGACTGCAATTCCAAAATCTCTTCTCTGCTCACTCCCCTTTTTCCTTCTTTTTAAGTTGAACGCAAAAGTGACCACCATTCTGACTCTCAACACCATGGTTTTACTTGTCTTTGAACTTTACATAAATAAAATCGTACGTGATTCTGTCATTCTAAGCATCATATTTTGTCTATTGTTCATGGATGTTTGGGTGGCTTCTACCTTGAGACTAACCCAAATAGCGTTGGAATGTCTTTGAGGAATAATTGCATAGAAATAATGAGATATCTTGAGAATGGGTCCAAGTCTAAATACAAAGTACATTAATGTTTCACATAAACCTTAAGCATATAGTTCAAACATAATTTGTTCCATTATTTTTAGTGCACCACCTCTGTTTTCCTTGTGACCCATCACTTGAGGTCAGTACTTTGACCCCTGAGGAACACACACATAGGTCCGAACATACTTAGGAGTAGAATTGCTGGGTATTGGAATGTATGTCTTCAGTTTTAGTAAAGACTGCCAAAGAATTTCTAAAGTTGTTGTTTCAAGTTATAATCTTATCACCAATGCACAAAAGTCTTGTCAACGCTTGGAATTCCCATCCTTTTCATTCTAACTATTCTGGTGAGTATACAAAGGCATCTAATGGTGGGTCTTAATGTATTTTTCTCTGATAACTAAAGAGATTGAGCAAATTTTCTTATATGTTTCCTGGCCATTTAAATATTCTCCTTTGGGATGTATCTGTTGAAGTCTTCTATCCATTTTTCTGGGTCTTCTCCTTATTTGATCTAGAGAAGGCTGGGGTTGTTTTCTTCTTTAACTACATTCTAGTGCACACACTTTGTTGGTTATATGTATTAAGATTTTTTCCCCCATGTGTTACAAATACCTTCTTTCATTTTCTTATAGTTGTCTTTTGTTAAACAGAAATTCTTAACTTTAGTGTAACTTATTAATTTTTTCATTTCTGGTTAGTATGGGGAGGATTTTATTTGAGAAGTCTCTGCCTAACCTTGTTCTCCATCTCTTTGATGATTAGAAAAGGTTTATGGGAAAGTACTGTCTATAAAGTGCATAATAAATGGTTCACACCACCTTCTCCCCCTCTCTCCTGATGTGGCTGTTATTCCTCTTCATCCCAAGCACTCCTACCCCATAAATTCCCCCCGGGGTCAGCCTTGCCTCATGAACACGTGTCTGCACATGGATGCAACACTCTCGAAGAACTCTGAGGTCAAAGTGCAAGGAATCAAGCATTTAATGAGGTGCAGTCAGTCTTTATGGGACCAGCTGTGCTGCACTCAGCGCTCTCATCTTTTTACCGCTCCGTTGAGAGGTGAACAGTAATAGGAACGTGTAAGCTTTTCTGAACAGTATTCCACTGGAATCACTGACTTCTTCAAGGGCCCAGATAAGCTTCTACATACTTGCAAAAAGGAAAAGGGCTGCTGTGGGCTTTTCCTAGCTCTTTTTAAAAGCATCCTTCAGCTCTGTTTTCCTTCCCTTTCTCTTATTTATTTTTGTCCCCTAGACCTTTAAACATTTTTTTTTGACAGTAGACAGCACAGTTGTGCAACTAGTCCATGCAGATGTTTGAGATTACTTGGATCGACAGACCTCTAAACTAAGCACAGCACACCCTTTGCAAACCATACCATAACTGTGCTGTCCACATCACAGGGGCCCCCACTCCTTGCCTGAGGCACACTAGCAGATCCCCTAGCCATACTCTGGAGGATCATGTCTCCTCATTCCAGCTCAGGCCTCTTAACCATGATTGGGTTTGGCATCCAGGAAGCACTGTGTCTTTAAAAGATCCTTAAGCACATCTGTTTTCAATTTGCAGGCCATGAGGCAAGGATTTGGGTGCAAGTAGTTTATCTGGGAAGTGATCCCAGGAAATACCGTGAGGGGGCTGTCTATGGCAGGGAGAAGTCAAGAAAGGTGCATTGATGGGTAGCTGACTGCCATGTGCAATGGCGCTATCCYGCCTGTAACCTCCGAGCAAAATGATGCCTCAGAATCATTCCCCACCCCCCAAGTGGGATGTGCGTACTGCCTGACACCCCCCCCCCCAACCACCTCATAGCTAATGATGCTGTCTGCATGTAAGTCGTTTGGGGAAGGACACTGGCCACGCCAACCTCAATGATTTTGATAAATTGTTTCATTCTGAGCACTTTGCCAATGTCTACATTTATTATTAATACTGTTGAGAGTCTGTGCTTTTAAATTCCCATTCCTGTTTCAGTAGAATTAATTATTGCAATTGTATAGTTGTGCAGTTGTGAAATTCTCTAGCAGAAATGCTGTGAGAAATTATGCACAGCTCAGCTGAGTTAGAAACCAGGCATGGAACGTGGAAGGCTGCTTCTGTAACCCCAAGAGGTCCAGGCCCTTCATCTGGACTCTTATTTCTGAGCCTCATGACAGCTGCTCACCCCTCTGGCCTCAGCTTCTTCCAACAAACCCTCTCTAACGAAGTTAGGTTACATTCATTTCCTGTGAGCTCAGTGCAGCCCAGTGGGTGCCTGCCTTATCCCTCAATAAATTAAGTGGAAGCAATTGTTTGCTTATTACTCCCAGGAGGCAGAGGCTGTCTCCCTGTTGCCTCTTAGACCCTCATTACCAGATAGTGGATTGTTAAACTCAATCCTATGAGACAAGCCCTCCTAGGAATAAATTTGCAGAATTTCATTGAGCTCAATAAACCAGATGAAACGATGCTCCTGTTTTCTGAACATCTCAATTCATGACCCTCCCTCTTCCCTACATTTCATATTCCAAATTCAAGGTTAATTGGACTACACTTCTGACCCCAGTTATGGCCTACATGCATGTGGGTGTTCTTGTCAGTCACGGTTCCTTTCCATGTTCTGTAGCATCTGATGTGCGCTGGACTGTGGTGCCTGGTAGAAGGAGATACGTCCTGCAAGACCAAGCTGGATCCTCCCCTGGATGGCACCGAGTGTGGGGCAGACAAGGTAACCCCCTGCCTCCTACCACTGCCAATGGCAGCCCCACTCTCCTGGGTACTGGACACATTTCCTTCTGAGAGGCAGAGTGTCCTCTGCTCAGGAGCTGTGGAATATCCCACAGTCCACTGCAGAAATGCCCATGGAGCCCACTGCAGACACAGGGGTGCCCTCATTACCTCCTTTTCTCATTTAAAGATGCAAGAATCATTTACTTTAGTATATTTGCTAGAATAACTCCTTTTGTGCCACGAGTTAATTTACTTAAAAGGGAATCTTTCCATTAGTTTACTTAAAATGGAAAACAATTACACTTGCCGAACACAAAAAGTTAACATGCAGTGAAGTTGATAAGAACACTGTTGTCCGATTCTAACTAGACGTTAAGAGGGCAAACTTGATCTTCTTGGACAGGAACGATTTTAAATGTTAGGAGGAGAGCTGGCCAGAACCAGCAGCCATACAGCTTTGTCCTCAGTTTCATTGCAATGGTTGAAAAGGAAGTCATGGTTCATCCTGATACCGTGATTAGGAGCCACTAAATCACACAGTCTGGGAAGATATGTTTTAGAGGATTGGCTTCTTATCCTTAGAAAGAACCACAGTGATCTACATGGAGCTGGCTTTCATCCCTGTGCACCCACCCCCACCCTAGAACCCATAACAGAGAGATAGACAGTCATGTTAAGTAAAGTCTGCCAATGTTCAGGTTCCTTCACAAGCTATGCAGAATTATCTTTTTTTCGAGAATTTATAAAATCCCAATGGGCCACTTTGTATGGGGAAGTTTGGGGCAAAACCCAAACCCCAGAGAAATATATATCAGATTGAGCATGTAGAATCAATAGACAACACATATGCACATCCTGTCATAGTCTACTTTTATGTAAATTTCAAAAATCAATGTGGGGCCTTATGGAGGGACCCGCAGTCCTTTGGGAAAGGAGAAGCTCTGCTGAGTGCTCAGGCCTGGCCCTCCCTCCTGTGTTTCAGTGGTGCCGTGCAGGGGAGTGTGTGAGCAAGACGCCCATCCCAGAGCATGTAGATGGAGACTGGAGCCTGTGGGGTTCCTGGAGCATGTGCAGCAGGACATGTGGGACAGGAGCGCGGTTCCGGCAGAGGAAATGCGACAACCCGCCGTAAGTGCCCCTTGACCAGGCCTTCTCCAAGATGCCTCCCTGGGTCTTGCCAACCTGCAGTTAGACTGCCTTATACCAAGAACCAAGCATGCGGAAAATGAGAGAGAACCAAGGTCCGGTGCCAGGGCCTCGAGTGTCAGATGGCATCTCGGCTTCTCTAGAGCTCTCCCTGAACACGGAGGTGGAGGAGTCCTGTGGTGAGCTGGCTTCTTGACTCCCTGCCTAGGCTCTGGGAGAGAGATGTCCTGAGACAGCTGGATGGCAGTCTGTCTCGCCAGCTTCGTGGTTTACTTAGTCAAGGGTCATTCTCTGGAAGCCTGTAGACCTTCCGGAAATGGAGTCCAGCCTTCAAATTAGCTGTTGGCTGACTCTGGAGCAGGCTTCTTGTTCATTAGTCCAAAGAATCTGTGTGTTTAGCAATCTTGTTCATTGGAATATTTTTCACAAGTCTTCCTAGAAGTATTTGACAGGAAAAAAAAAATTGAAGGGGTGTGTTTTTCTCTTCTCAGTTTCTTTTACTGATTACAATGACACCAAGATCTTCCTGATCACCCTTGGATCCAGAGAGAGATTTGTGCTCAATTTTTATAAGTTCATCAACACAAGTTTTCCCCTTTAATCTTTGTTTCGCAATTTAAAGTGTTTCTTTTAATGGTCTGTTTTCTGTCTTGGGTGTCATGTCAATTTGGAAAATGGGCAAGTTGTAAATCATGACTAAGAAAGAAATGCTTTATATGCACATATATGTCATGTCAATGAAGAATTAGCAAGTACCTCTTGTGTTTAGAAATTCTGATGCTCAAGCTTTGTTAATTAAATCACACAGACGCTGTTGGTGGGCCACAGAGAGTGAATGCCTTCAGTCTCTCAGATGATTCCAGTGGCCAGCCAGGACCAGGGACCTCCTGGATAAAGGAAGGGATGTGCCCATAGTTCAGTCAGTGACTAGAACATATATGGCAGTGCATAGTATGCCTTTTCACAACATAATACAGAGTGGTTGGCACATAGTAGGTGTTTYATCTATTAGGAATAATCTCTTAACTAAAAGCACAAATGGATAGATGGTTAGAAACTCTATTTGGCTAAATGCTGAGAAATTAATAAAGGGGGGTTTCAATTTTTACAGTTTTTTTTTTTTATGTTGAAGTTAATAGCTTGACCTCTGGCCCCAAAAAGAGAGTTATAGGTTTGGATTCATGGTGCTGTGGTTTGAGCCTGGCTCTGTTGGTTATGAGTCATATGATCTCAAGGAAGTCCCATGTGTGGGCCCCTGTTTCCCCATTATGGGGAGCAAGAGGGTAGAGCGAAGCATCTCAGGGTGGATAAGTCTTCAACCCCAGAAAAACTCTTTATTTTTAATTATTTTTTTTAGCTGTAGGTGGACATAATACCTTTATTTTATTATTTTTATGTGGTACAGAGGATTGAACCCAGGGCCTCACACTTGCTAGGCAGTCGTTCTACCACTGAGCTCTAGCTCTAGCCACCGCCCCCCAGTATGGCTCTCTATAGCAACTGATGGCTATATCTTGTCTTACCAGCTACAAGTTGGAATAACTGGTGGAAATGCATGTAAAGTCCTTGATCTATAGTTAATGAACAGCCCCTCTTATTGTTAGCACTTTAGAAGATGGGGATGAGACCTAGTCCCACACTGTCCACCTCACAATTCTGCCTGGTGGCTCTGGGGTGGGTGACTTGGGTGGAAAACCTTTAAGTACAGAAAAAAGTTTGCTCGGGTCATGGTTTTCATGGTTGTCCCCTGTTTGTGACTGGAGCTTGTGGGCTCTGGCTCAGGTCTGGCCTTCTGCATCATTACACATGAGGTAACTCCCAGTAAACATCACAGAAGGCAATAGTAGGGCCTCTGAATGCCTGAAGGCCCTTTTGTCCCAGAGAGTGGACAGTTGAGATTGTGTTTAACACCTGCAAGAACATGTTATAAGTGCTGGCCAAACATACTGGTCACAGCCTATGTGAGACCCACATTGTCCTTTTGCCTTGGAATGACATGGGCTAGGGTATCTCTCTAGTCGGCAGCATCAGAGGAGGCTTTCCAGAACTTTGTGGCTTCCAGCTTTGACTGGTCCTTATCACTGTTCCAGCTGCGTCCTGCCCTGCCCACCTATGGTGGCTCTGGGCTACCACAGGGGCTTCTTGTGATGAAAAGCTCCTGAAGATCCCCTAGTTCAGAGGTGCATAAGTATACCTCTCTGATTTGGCCTGCCAGAAGGCCTCCTGTGTTAGGATTCTCTTCTCATTCCTCCAAGCCCAATCTCCCCAAAAGAGAGGCTGATCTGGAAATCACAAAATTGTTGTAAAAAAAACTCCTTTCCTTATTCTTCTTTATCAGGCTCCCACCTCGTGGTGGCCATGAATTTTACCTCTTTTTGCCCACCTTTGTGCATGTCTCCACTGAGGAATAGGGGAATGGGTAGGACTGCCACACCTGGCCACTGAGGGTCTATGGGTGACAGCACCTCTGACTATTATGAACACAGAGACACCTTCACTGCTCATCTCTGCTGTCCAGCAAGGCCCTGTGCAGCAGGGCAGTGGACAAGTACCAAAGGAGAAAGTGGATGTTCTCAGTGCTCCCAGGTCTGTGCTCCTTCCCTGTGATGCCATTTCACCACCATGCCTTTGTAAGCCTTCACAGGATCCTAAGTCTGGACCCTGTGAGGTGTGGGCCTACAGTGACAAGCAATGACAGATGAAAGCCCTGTCCCCACTCCCATAGACTTCCCTTGTTTTTTTTTTTTTCTCCAACTCTTTAAACCAGACCCTTTCTAAGCACTGCTCTCTCTTCTCTGCTTGCTTCTGCCCTCTTGGTACATAGCACCTCCGACCAGTGCACTGCTCAAACGCAAAGCCCCCGTGTGCAGGTGCCATCCCTTTGCTCTTTTCTACCTCCTTCACATATGACCACGTTAAGAACAGCAAATGCAGCAGGCGCTCACTATATGCCAAGTTCCCCTAGGCATTTATTTTTATGCTTCTATTAGTGCATTATTATAATTATACATAATAGTCGGGTTCATTTGGACCCAATCATACGCACGAAGTTTAATTTTCTCCATTTGAGTCCCTGGTTGTTTGTTACTCCTCTTTCCCTCTCCTCCTCCCTCCCTATACCCCTTTCTCTGCTGGTCTTCTATCTATTTTTAATTGGTGCTTTATAGATATACATAGAGGTGGAATTCACTGTTGTATATTTAGACATGCTCAGAGCGTAATTTTATCAAATTCATTCTGAATTTCCCCCTTTCCTGTCCCTCCTTCATCCCCCTCAGTCACCTTCTTCTGCTCCACCGATCTTCCCTTTATGTTTACGATATCTGACCCCTGCCCTTTATCCCCTTTACTTTGCTCTAGCTTCCACACACAAGAGAAAACCTTCAACCCTTGATTTTTTGAGTCTGACTTATTTCATTAAGCATGATGTTCTCCATTTCCATCCACTTACTGGCAAATACCATAATTTCATTCTTCTAAATGGCTGAGTAAAACTCAATTGTGTATATAAACCACATTTTCTTTATCCGTGCATCCGTTGACGGGCACCTGGGCCAGTTCCATGACTTGGCTATTGTGAATTGCACTGCTATAAACATTGATATGGCTGTATCACTATGGTAGGCTGATTTTAGTTCTTCTGGGTAAACATCAAGGAGTGGGATAGCTGGATCATATGGTGGTTCCATTTCTAATTTTCTGAGGAATCAGAAAACTATTTTTTCCATGCTTTCCAGAGTGGTTGTACTAATTTGAAGTCCCATCAACAGTGTCTGAATGTACCTTTGTCCCCTTATTTGTGTTTTTGATCATTGCTTAAGCATTGATTTAGTAAGTAATTTCAGGCAGCTGTATGGGAGAGGGATCTTTTTAAATTCCTGTTGTGTAAATACAAAACTGAGTCAGAAACAAGTTAAGTAACTTGCCCAAAGTAGCATAGCTAAGTGGTAGGGGGTTGGGTTTGGAGCTCAGTCCTGGAAACCAGAAGTCCAAAATCAAGGTGTGTGCTGCATTGGTTCCTTCTTGACACTGAAGGAAAATCTGTTTCGTGCCTCCCAGGCTTCCAGTGGCTCTGAGAGTCTTTGGCTGTCGTGGACTTATAGAGGCATAGTGTAGTCTCCATCTCCCTCTTCATGTGGTCTTTCCTCTGTGTGTCTGCCCACATTTTCTTCTCTTAGAAGGACACCTATCTCTGCACTTAAGCCTTATCTAATCCAGGATGATCTCATCTCAGGGTCCTTAATTGCATCTCCTAAGATCTTTTTTTCTCAGTGAAATCATATCTAAGTGGACATGTCTTCAGGGGGCCCAAGGGGCCAGCATCCAACCCATTCCAGCCTCAAAGCCTCTTTTCTGTTCCTCAGACACAATGTTCTCACTTAGGCCCTTGATTGCCYCTCTTTTCCTTTCCCTAATGTACCTTTGTGTCTTTGAGTCTCCGTGTAAATAACGTTTCCTCAAAGAAACCCCTTCCTGACCACCTGTCTCCCTCAGCACTGAACATTCAGGTATTATAGCATTAGGTGATCACTGTTACTTCTTGGCTCACTTGTTTTTCCTTTGTCCTCCCTGCTGGCCTTTGAACATCCTGAAGATCTGCAACAGGTCACACCTGTGTGGGCTCCATCCTGCCTTCTGGGTCTGCACAGAGCAGCTCCTCTGTCAATGTTCTTATCACCTCACACCCTGGCTGCATGCTTGGCAAGAAGAGCAATCTCTTCAGGGCCTCAAAACGCATTCCTAATACCTTTCTCCCTGAGAAACCCAAAACTTATGAGAAATTATTAGACCAAAAAGCTAGAGCACCGGGTGGGCCCCCTTCCCTTTTATCATCTCACTTCCCTGAAGCCTGGATCCTCTGATCAGCCAGGCAGTGCAATTCAGGTCCCCCTACACCTGAGGTCCACCATCCTTGCCCTGCCCCAGGGAGGCTCTTGCTCAGAGCCAGAAGTCTCAGTAGCATCTCAAGAATAAGCTTCACC